TATATAAATATATCAGCATCCATAGAAAACAGATGTTTAATCTAACGAAGATGCTGCTGCAAAATTACATTTGTCAAAGGGTCAGCCACTTCCTACAAGTCTATGCAATATGCTGATCTAGCAGATGTTTATCGTCTATAGCTCTCATCCTCCATTCTACAATGAAAACAAAATGCAAGGATGTACAAAAGGAGTGATTTTTTTTTTTTTTTAATTCCTACCTGCAAAAGACGTATGCTCCTGGCAAACAAAGATTTTTATTGCAAGGTTAATATTATTGCTTTTATCTATTTTGCTTTAAAAATAAAATGTTTTTATGCTCATATCTGTCCCACAGTTTCGGTAATGATCTGGAGAAATTATCTTCAGTAAGCAGGCAACTTTAAACTTAATACATATTTTTATATAAAGTGAAAAGAGGTTATGGCTAACAAATGAAAAACAGATCTGTTGGTCAACAAAAGTCACTCTACACAACTGTAAAGGACCTGTGCGACATTGGAAAAAAAAAAAAAAAAAAAAGGGAATGGATGAGCTGTGAGCACACAGGCAATTTTCAGACGTACAATTGTGAGACAAAGGGTCCATTCGCACAGGTGATTACACACGTTGCAGATTCCTGCAGCTGGAATTGACAGATGTGTATGAAATGCTAGGGCCACTGAGCCTGTACAATGCAAAGATAGGCTGTCGGCCACCACAGCTTTTCCTGACTGTTCGCAAAGCTAGCGATTACCTGCGGTGCATTGTGTGGGCTCAGCGGCCAGTTATTTGCACACATTTGTCAATTCCAAGTGCATGAATCAGCATTCTCAGCACTGGAAATTGCAGCTTCCCCAAAAGGACCCTTAAAATGAAAACAATTAATTGTCTCCACGGAAACACGAGGGGCAATGGCAGCGAGTTCATGTGTGATGCTGGTGGCGTGATCAGTCTATCGATCATAGGACAGTAGCACATTCTCTAAATCAGACATTAAGATCAACTGCAACTATTTTTTTAGCTTATTGATTTTGATGGAAGGACACAAGTAATCGAAAAAGTTGTAATGTAATCAAGCAATTTCATTAAATTTTCTTTGAGCGGAGGGTTTTTTTTTTGTTTATTTAGTACCTAGCAGAGCACAAAGAAAACCTTGAAAATGCACATTTCTGTTGTTACAACGGCAAAAAACCTAAAATAAAGCTGCCCCTGTAAAGGGATACTTGGATAGACACTCGCCTCTCCCAATGACAATGCCGCTGATGCCTGTACTCTAAAGAAGAGAAGTCGCCTGCTGAAAAAACTCTGCAGAAAAAATACAGCTTCCTAGAGTGTTGATTTCCTGTTTTCAGTGGTTCCCACTGCCAGCCAACATGTCATTACAGGATGAGAATGATGTACAGGTCAGCACATTAAACCATTAAATTATGTGTCAGACCACTAATTTGAAACTTCCTGAAGTGCCAATTTCTGAAAATTCTGCATTTTCTATTAACAGCGGAAGAAATTAGCAACATGGTCAGCAGAAGAGGTACATTGTAGATATCCAAGTTCTTCTTTGCAGGACCACTTTAAAATCTGACTGCTATAAAACGTAGGCAGACATTTGTATAGATTGTGGGCCACATTTTCCTGGTAAACAGATAAAATATTGCTAAATGGCAGAAAAATCTTTATCAAGATACTGAATTAAAAAATAGCAGCATGAAAGCAGAGTTCTAGTTAGTTCTAGTTCATAGCATAGTTATGGGGAAATAACCTTGCAGTTAGCTCTCCACACATCAAAAGGGTAACTCCACTCTCATGGAAAAAAAATAGCAAATAAATATAAAAGAAAAAAGTATACACAGTTGCTACACAAGTCATATTTTAATTAAATGTTATTAAAATGTTTCTTTCCTTTTCCATCTGCAGCTCATTTTTGGTGAGATACTCCCAAAGGGATACAGACCCTGCCACTTTCCTCAGAACTTTAGTGCAGCAGCTGATTGTTTGTGTCCTTATGCAGAGTGAATGTGTATGGGAGTGATTTCATCATTAACAAACAGCCATTTCTTCAGAACAACAAAAGGCAGGAATCTGCAACACAGTTTGTTGAAATCTCTGCCATGTATAGAATTACCCAGAAATTGGAGTTACTCATTCAATGCTTCTTTTTGCCTAGGGTACCAGTAAACAACCAAATGTCCATACTTTATCCTTTACTCACACAAGCTCCTCCTTCCACGTGACCTGACGTACACAGCTTTTTCTTTTCCGCGCTTCAGTCAGTGGTCACAGGTGTGAAGTCATCATGTACAACACAGGACCATCAGTCCTGCACTGTACGGGCTTGTTCACTTTGCAAGGGAACTTTTCCCAGAGCTTAGGGAATGTGGTGAAATTTTACCCAAAGAATACCCAATCACATGCAAGGAAAACTACACTAACAACATTTTTGCTTGCACATGATTGGATGATGGAAATAAGCATAGTTTAAACTCATTCAGTACACTTTAGGAAAATTGCCTTGCATAGCTAACAGTCAGTTTGCTTTTGGTAAGTCAAACCCCATGTCTGCTGAGCTGCATTGTGCGGTATAAATCAATGCAGGCTCAAGACAATTATTTTCTACAGTAGGTTTCCTATTCCCACTATAAGTACATTATGATGTACCGGAAAAAAAAAAAAAAAAAGTGCAGCATATAGCCCACATTGCCCCTACACAACACACACCAGCACGTATGCACTATAGAGTGTAGGCTGATGTGAATGGGTATAGTGAGGAAGCGGAGAACCTGCCACAAACTGAAGCAGTGGACAGAAGAAGTTAGAGGTCAAATTCATACTTAATTGTTCCATGAACAGGCTTAGAGGTGTGCCATGTTTGTGTGTATTTCTTCGCTACACGCACAGGGCAGCTCACGTTTTAAGCGGTTTATAATCACATACTTTTGCTGTGTTGAACACTTTTTTTTTTTGGGGGGGGGGGGGGGGGTGAGAGTGGGTACCTGGTTTTGACAGGTACCTGCTCGCCTGCTTCTGCTCAAAATCGCCTAGTCGATCTGAATGAAAGTTCAGCCCCCATCTTTGCCCACAGCTTCTGGGATACGACCATTCACAAAGCACAAAGCATGGCATACGCATGCAGTGTGAAGCCACAAGATGTCACAGCTGGCTTCCTTTAGTAAACATGGTGGTGCTGGTGACAGGAAGACTGGGGAAATACTTGCCTGGGTGAGGAAAGCACTGGATCCCTGGACAGGTAAGGCCCCGTTCACACTTAAGCGTTATGAAGCTTGTAGCTCAAAGCTCAGAAACATTCAACAAGCAAAAACCTATTGTTTTCAATAGACCATGTTCACATCTTAGGGTTCTGTCACTTGTAGCAAAAGCTTGTTGCTCAGAAAAGTACACAAGCTACTTTTCAGGCAGAGTTGAGCCTTTTTGTCCTCATAGACTTCAATGGAAACGAATGAAAAGCGCAACATGAGCATCTTCAAGCATTTTGTTGTGCATTTTCTGCTCAAACAGCAGCTCTCTGCCCCATTTTTCAGCAGAACTCCAAACACTTAGCTTAATTCCTGAAAGAAGCCTAACAAAAGCTGCAAAACCTTGTAATTCTGCTCCAAAACAAATGCTCAAAAAGGGATACTTAGGCCTCATTCACAGTATGGTGTTTTGAAGCTCAGACAGAATCTCCGCCATTATGCCCAATTTCAAAACGCTTTGCTAAAATAATATCGTACAGGTGCCATAATTAGGCGCAGTTCTGCCACGATTGCCGCGCGATAAATCGTGCTGCAATCACAGCAAAGTGCGTCACCCAACAGAAGTTCCTGAACTTCTTTTGGGTAAAACACTTTGTGCAATGCAGTTTGCCATGACAATTACACATTTTTTTAGGTGCCATTTAAATGAAAGGCACTTGAACACATTGTTGCGCAATTTATTTTAACAAAGCGTTTTGAAATTCGCACCGGTTTCTGTGTGACTTCCACCACGCGTCATGATTGCACCCCGCTCATGGGAACTGCTGCGGGTGTGGATGTTAACACCTAAAAACCAGTGTGAAAAACGCGGTGCGATGCGCACAATCAGATCGTAAGGGTGTGAATACCCATGTGACCCGATTCTGGTGCAAACCAAAAAAAAAAAAAAAAGAGGATCGTACACTATTTTGGAGTGGATGTGGTGCGATCTGAGCCATTCAAAACGTATGGTTCAAATTGCACCGCACAGAAATGTGTGATTTGCACAGGAATGTGGTGCGGTACCTGTGTGAATCACGAGCAATGTGCCACACGGCATCACTGTGAACCCAGCTAAACGTCAGCAACTACAGTATTTGTAGCTGCTATTCATTTTTGGGGGGTGAGACCGGAGGTCCTCTTTAACAACAAACTGCCAAATGTTTACCTGTGATTGTTTGTGGATGTTTTCTCTGTTGACAGCTCTACGTGATCGCATTTGGGGCCAATTGTGGCATTTTTTTGCACTTATTGTTTATTTTTATGTAGTAAATACAAAAATATGTAAATAGAATGAAAAAAAAAAAAAATAAAATACACAATGAATTGCCAAGTGCGGCAGGAGTTTTTCACGCAAGTTCATGGAAAGGCCTCAAAGCTGGCTGATGGGAGCAGGGAATAAACGCAAGGAAAAAAAAATATTTTTATTTCCCCTAATACAAATAATCCCATTAACCCTTGCAGTACAGGGGAGCTTCACTACAAAGCAGTCCAGCTGTACTCCCCCCTGTGTACAGTCCCCAGCAGCTGGTGAGGTGACAGTTTGCAGTGTATTGTGTCCATTCTATTGATAGAAGACAGGAAGTGAGTTCACAGCTGAAGAAACACGTGTAGGCCAAGAACAACACAATCACAACAGCATCCCTCCCCCCCCCCCTCCAGGATGCATTTCCTATAGAGTTCGGTCCCAGCTATAGGGCGCCTTCCTGGGCTGCCCCCACCACACACAGCTACCTCCAATGGTGCTGGAGGGAAGGTGACCTACAGTCCACAGTGATCAGCACTGACCTGTCTCCATGTGATTGAGGAACTCCTGGGCTGCCTGCTTCTCATGGCTCTGCAGCACAGGCTGGTACAGCTCCCTGACTGAGGAGCCCTTGCGGTTGAGGCAGCAGCATTCTCGGAGCATAGCCAGGCACTCCTTGATGTGCTCCACTATCCTGGACGAGAGCCTCCTCACAAAGTTCACAAAGTCCTGGAAGAGCTGAGCGCACCTCTCACATAGACGACCCATGGTGTCGGTTCCCTGGGAGCCGAGGAGCCTGCCTACCTCGCACCGACCTCTTCTAGTACAGAGACCGCCTCACAGAGCCATAGCATCCGCCCGCGCCTGACTGGGCATCTCCTTACAGAGAGCTCCTTGCTGTGGAAGAGGCAGACAAAGAAATGAAGTCACCCAGTCTCTCTGCAGGACGGCTGCACAACAGTGAGGTAATGCTCGAGCCTGCCCCCGACACCCTGCCTCATGCCTATTGGCCGGGAGGGGAGCAAGGCTTGACTGTAGAACTGGCTGTTCCAGTTCTGTGAGGGGAGAGCTTTGCGTCCAATGAGAACACAGCATTGCTATTCTATTATCCCTCAATAGGGGAGGCAGGCACAGGGCTGCGCAGATGTTCTGCTGTGTTCTGTCATCTAAGGCTGGAGGAAAAAAACAAAACATGAAAGGGCCTACATTTCCAATGTATTGTGCCTCAGTACAGCAGGCCTGCCCATGGTATTTATTACAGGTACAAATATAGCACCTTCTATTGACATATACATCAGTCCCTGCCCTCAAGGAGCTTACAATCGAAGGTCCCTACCTCACATTTATATACAAGGGCCAATTTATCTTCCAGCATGTCTGCAGTGTGGGAGGAAAGCCAGTCACACAAAGAACATGCACACGCTAGGCAGGTGGTGCCATGGGTGGGATTTGAACCAACAACCCTGGTGTTGCCAGGTAGAAGTGCTAACCACCTCGCCACAGTGTGTGGAAGTCTTCATGAACACTGGACATTTTTACAGCGGCTGTTTTTGGCTTTTGATGTTTTCAAAGCGGCTGTTTTTGGCTTTTGACATTCTTGGCTTTTGACGTTTTTAAAGTGGCTGTTTTTGGCTTTTGACGTTTTTAATGTGGCTGTTTTTGGCTTTTGACATTTTTGCAGCGGCTGTTTTTGGCTTTTGATGTTTTTACAGAGGCTGTTTTTGGCTTTTGACGTTTTTACAGCGGCTGTTTTTGGCTTTTGACGTTTTTACAGCGGCTGTTTTTGGCTTTTGACGTTTTTACAGCGGCTGTTTTTGGCTTTTGACGTTTTTAAAGCGGCTGTTTTTGGCTTTTGACGTTTTTACAGCGGCTGTTTTTGGCTTTTGACGTTTTTACAGCGGCTGTTTTTGGCTTTTGACGTTTTTACAGGGGCTGTTTTTGGCTTTTGACATTTTTAAGCGGCTGTTTTTGGCTTTTGACGTTTTTACAGGGGCTGTTTTTGGCTTTTGACATTTTTACTGGGGCTGTTTTTGGCTTTTGACGTTTTTAAAGCGGCTGTTTTTGGCTTTTTGACGTTTTTACAGCGGCTGTTTTTGGCTTTTGACGTTTTTACAGCGGCTGTTTTTGGCTTTTGACGTTTTTACAGCGGCTGTTTTTGGCTTTTGACATTTTTTACAGCGGCTGTTTTTGGCTTTTGACGTTTTTACAGCGGCTGTTTTTGGCTTTTGACGTTTTTACAGGGCTGTTTTTGGCTTTTGACGTTTTTACAGCGGCTGTTTTTGGCTTTTGACGTTTTTAAAGCGGCTGTTTTTTTTTGGCTTTTGACGTTTTTCCAGTGGCTGTTTTTGGCTTTTGACGTTTTTTATGTTCACGGCTTGTTTTGCGGCTTTTTACCGCTTCCCAAACCCCTGTTTTTACATTGCAGCACGGCTGTTCACACGGGGCTTAGCGTCGCGAAAAACGGACGCCTTTGGTTCAGGAGGAGTTGAAGCCTTCTATTCAAGGCTTTGGTGCGTTTGCGGTGCAGTTTTGCGGGGCATTTGGGGAGCGTTAACACCATTTTTTTAAACTTCATTATAGGCGTTTTGGGGCATTTTTAACGCTTTTTTAGCAACTGCAGCGCGCTGTTTTTGGCTTTAAAAAATGCGTTCCACAAACACCGGACTAACACTTGTCAAACGTTAGGGTTTTTGGCTTTTGAAAAACAGTTTTTACAGCGGTTGTTTTTGGCTTTTGACGTTTTTACAGCGGTTGTTTTTGGCTTTTGACGTTTTTACAGCGGCTGTTTTTGGCTTTTGTCATTTATTCCTACAGCCAGTAAACCCCCCAGCATGTTATCCTATGTGTCCATGCACACATAGACTGTAATCAACATTTTTTGGCTGGAATAAAAACCCAGGACTAGTAGGTTTCTAGAGGAGTTTTATAGCTGTAAAAATGCTCTAACGTTGAAAAACATGGTAAAATGCAGCAATCCAGTGTTTTTGGACTTTTTAGCAAAAATTTTTTATTTTGGTAAAAAAACGATAAAAAAAAAAACGCAAGTTTTTTTATGGGACTTTACGCAGCTAACATTACCAGCATTATCAAAACACTCAGTGTGCATGGAGCCTTAGTCCTAGGGGCGGACTGACAACTCATGGGGCCCCTGGGCAATAGGGGATCATGGGGCCCCTGTGTCCTCGCCCACACCCAAGTGCTCGAATGGTCAGTCCGCCTCTGCTTAGTCCTCATGCACACAATGTTTTTACAGCGGCTGTTTTTGGCTTTGATGTTTTTTTCTACAGCCAGTAAACCCCCCAGCATGTTATCCCATGTGTCCATGCACACATAGACTAATCAACGTTATTTGCCGGAGATGTTTTTTGGCTGGAAAAACCCCCCAGAACTAATAGGTTTCTAGAGGAGTTTTGTAGCTGTAAAAATGCTCTAATGCTGATAAATGCAACAAAATGCGGTAAATTGCAGTAAAACACAGCAAAACGGCGTTTTTTCGACTTTTTTTGACCCCCCCCCAAATTTTTTTTGCTCAAAAAAAACACTAAAAACGCAAACGTGGAAAAATGCCGCTAAATGCTAATGCAAAAATGCTAAAAAAAGCTGAAAAACTCAAGTTTTTAATGTGACTTTACACAGCTAACGTTACCAGCGTTATCAAAACACCCCGTGTGCATGGAGCCTTAGTCCTCAGGCACACTGGACATTTTTACAGCGGCAGTTTTTGGCTTTTGGCATTTTTTTCTACAGCCAGTAAACTCCCCAGCATGTTATCCTATGTGTCCATACACACATAGACTGTAATCAATGTTTTTGGCTGGAAAAGAACCCCAAAACTAGTGAGTTTTTAGATTCGTTTTTTTTAGCGGTAAAAACGCTGTAACACTGTAAAATGCAGCAAAAACGTGGTAAAACACAGCAAACTGGCGATTTTTGACAAAAAAAATGTTTTATTTTGGTTAAAAAAAAGCTAAAAATTCAAACGTGGGAAAATGTGCACTAAACACTAATGCAAAAATGCTAAAAAAGCTGAAACATTTTTTAACGTGACTTTACACAGCTTACGTTACCAGCGTTATCAAAACACCCAGTGTGCATGGAGCCTAATGCCCCGTACACACGATAAGAAAATCGTACAAAAACTTTTGCGGAACCACTGATCGAACGATTTTCTCTTCGTTGATGAGCAGGATGTTTTAACCAATAACAATATTGTGACCTAAAAAATCCAGTTGAACAACAGTGAAAAATGTTGCCGTTTCGCATACGAATGACTGATTTTCTATGCAGTGGTATGACGGTCGTACGATAAAAGTCTATCAAGCACTATCACGCATGAGCAGAAACAGAAGATGACTCGGATGTTTATGTCCAAGAAATCTTCGTAAACACGAACGAAAAATCCAAATGTTAAAAGTAGATTAGCCTAATGAGATAATGAAACCAGAATTCTGCATATTATATTTTATGTATCATTATTTATGTATATAGGTAATGTAATAAACTATATTATACTCATTACTGGTAATTGTATATATCGCTCGTTCTGGCCGGAAGGGCGTGGCTACAAGGTCACACGCACACCGCATCACATCCACTTGTACGGAAGACGTCAACACTACGTATTGCCCGATGAACGATTTTTTTTAGATTGGTTAATGTGGGCCACGATTTCAACCAACGAACGAGCGCCTCTCAGTCGTCGGATGACCGATCGGTCGATTTTCTAATCGTGTATTCCCACCTTTAGTCCTCATGCACACTGGATGTTCGTACAGCTGCTGTTTATGGCTTTTGAATTTTTTTTTACTTTTTTTTCTACAGCTAGTAAACCCCCCAGCATGTTATCCTATGAGTCCATGCACACATAGGCTGTAATCAACATTTTTTGGCTGGGACATTTTTTGGCAGGAGAAAAAACCCAGGACTAGTGGGTTTCTAGAGGAGTTTTTTTAGCTGTAAAAACGCCCTAACGCTGTAAAACGCACTAAATCGCGGTAAAAAGCAGCAAACCAGCGTTTTTTGGACATTTTTGACCAAAATAAATTTTTAGGAAACGCTAATGCAAAAACGCTAAAAAAACTAAAAAGCTCACGTTTTTAACGTGACTTTACACAGCTAACATTACCAGTGTTATCAAAACACCCAGTGTGCATGGAGCCTTAGTCCTCATGCACAATGGACATTTTTACAGCGGCTATTTTTGGCTTTTGACATTTTTTCTACAGCCAGTAAACCCCCCAGCATGTTATCCTATGTGTCCATGCATACATAGACTGTAATCAACGTTTTTTTTTGTCAAGGACATTTTTTGACTGGAAATAAAACCCAAGACTAATGTGTTTGTAGAGCAGTGTTTTAGCTGTAAAAATGCTCTAATGCTGAAAAACGTGGCAAAAAGCGGTACATCGCAGTACAGCTAGTAAAACCCCCAGCACGTTATCTTGTGTCCATACACACATAGACTGTAATCAACATTTTTTGGCTGGAAAAAAAACAAAGAACTAGTGGGTTTCTAGAGGAGTTTTTTAGCTGTAAAAAACTATCTAACGCTGAAAAGCGCAGCAAAACATGGTAAAACACAGTAAATTGCGGTAAAATGCAGCAAATCAGTGTTTTTTGACTTTTTTTGACCAAAAAAATATTTTTGGAGGTCAGAAAAAATGCTAAAAAAAAAATGCAGACATGGGAAAATGCCGCTAAACGCTAATGCAAAAAAGCTGAAAAACTTGCGTTTTTAATGTGATTTTACACAGCTAATATTACCAGAG